GCGAAATTTCTTACCTCCTCTCCTCATCGCAGATTTCAKAAAAAKAAAAAAAAAAGATTTGTTTTTTCATTGGAATCCGTGATTTACAGAGGATAAGTGATTATGGGTTCGATCTATTTGTCCAATTCTCTACCCATAACTCGACTTCCTCTACTTACATCACTCAATCAATCTCTTCTTCCTCCTATTTCACCCTTCTCTCTTATTCCTCTCTCTAATCGTCGTCCCTCCAATTTTTCACCGTTAATCGCCGTCTCCGCCGCCTTTGCAGCTCCTGCCGGCGTTAATAATAACTCCGTTCCGGTGAGTGAAAGCTGCTTCTTTTATGTCAAAACTTGAAACTTGTTTGTCTGATTCTGTGAGATTTTGTTTGGATTTTGGTGGGTTTCAGGCCAAAAATGGAGGTTATACAGTTGGGGATTTCATGACAAGGAGACAGCATTTACATGTTGTTAAGCCTTCAACTTCGGTTGATGATGGTAATTATGCAAAAAGATTACAACAATTCTCCATGATCGATCCTTGTAATCTCTAAATTTGTGTTTTTTTTTTTTTGGTTATCTTCCTTTGTAGCATTGGAACTTCTTGTTGAGAAGAAAGTCACTGGATTGCCTGTAATTGATGATGATTGGAATCTGGTAAACAATTCTCCTTTTTGCCATTATTGTGAAGGATTTTCTTAACACCAAGCTCGTGATTGACCATGTTTAGTTAACATATGTATTGAATACAGAAGGTGATAATAAGATGTGCTTTATATATATGTGATCTTACATATTTCTCTGCTGTAATTTCTCTTGCAGGTTGGTGTTGTTTCTGATTACGACTTGCTTGCATTGGACTCCATTTCTGGTAATGTATACAAGTTTTTGTACCTTGTGCTTGTTTTCCTTCTTTCCTCGTGTGTGGCTATTACCAAAGTACACGGTTTTAGTTTCATTATATTATACTATGAATACTTTAATCAGTTAGGAAGGAGCTGAGTCATAATTCATTTTGTAGGACTTAGTATTATTGGCACATAGGTTTCTTGATTATTTTTATCATCCAGAATGTTAACTTAACCGATCCTGTCTTATACTAATAGGCCGCAGCCAAAATGATACAAATTTGTTCCCTAACGTCGACAGTACCTGGAAAGTATGTTTCTCTACTTATTTGTTTATCGTTTTTGGTTCATTTGAGACTATTGTTTGTCCCATTTGAAATGAGGTTAGTTATATGATATTTGGAGTTCTTTATTTTCCAGACGTTTAACGAACTCCAGAAACTGATAAGTAAGACATACGGAAAAGTTGTTGGAGATTTGATGACGCCTTCTCCTCTCGTTGTCCGTGACTCTACCAATTTAGAAGATGCAGCTAGGTATATTGCAAACACTAAAAGTGACATTATCTATGAAAGCAACATTTCTCACAAGATCTGGTAACCATTTGTCTCCAGGTTGCTTCTGGAAACAAAGTTCCGAAGATTACCAGTCGTAGATTCGGATGGAAAACTGGTGAGTGAATCTCAAAGTGGCAACCTTTTCTTCTTCTTCTTGTGCAATTTGATTTGGTCTGATCTTTACTCTTTTGTTTTTCTTTGCCCGCAACAAGATCGGGATCCTTACAAGGGGGAATGTTGTACGCGCTGCGCTGCAGATCAAACGTGAAACCGAGAACTCTACGTAGCTAGCAAAGAAGAAGTTTATCAGAGCAGATCCCTTAAATCTGCCATAGTTAATAGCAAATCTATTGATTCCATTGTTTAAGTATATAAAGATATATGTAATCATTCCCTATCAAGTTTTCTACTTCCAAAATCAAAATTTTTACTTTAGGAGTAACATTTCTCAGACTCAGAATTCAAGATTATTGGTATCTGATACATATATATTTATTGTAGCTCAAAGTCTACTCTTTTAAGTCTAATCATTACCAAACACAAAGACCAAACAGAGAAATTGAACTACTTCACATGATTTTGCTCTGTCTTTGTCTCTCTTCTCTCAATTACATCTGTGATGTTCTCAAATTCCCTGCGTTTACCGTCTCGTCTCCTCTCCAAGTTGAAGGTATCTCGGGGTCTATGTTCTGTTCCGGCACCGGTATTTGAAGATTCCGGAGATTTTCTTCGTTTGAGTAGCAATGGCGTTCGTGTTTTCGACCTTCTCGAGGACAATGATATTCCCGCCGTTAGACGTCTCTACAACATGCTCCTGAAGCAATGTACTGTCTCCAAGCGACTCACTCAGGGAAGGATCGTTCATGGCCATGTTGTTAAATCTCTGTTTTGCTATAACCTCGTTATGCATAACACTCTGCTCAATATGTATGCGAAGTGCGGAAGTTTGGAGGAGGCACGCAAGGTGTTTGATCAAATGCCTGAAAGAGATTTTGTTACTTGGACTACTTTGATTTCGGGTTATTCGCAGCATGGTCGACCCTGTGATGCGTTACTCTTGTTTAATCAGATGCTGAGACACGGGTTCAGTCCCAATGAGTTTACTTTGTCTAGTGTGGTAAAAGCTGCTGCAGCTGAGCCTCGGGGATGTTGTGGTCACCAACTTCATGGCTTCTGTCTCAAGTGCGGGTTTGATTTGAATGTTCATGTTGGTAGCTCTCTTCTTGATTTGTATACTCGCTATGGTCTTATGGATGATGCACAATTGGTCTTTGATGCGCTTGAGAGTAGGAATGATGTTTCTTGGAATGCTCTGATCGCTGGCTATGCTAGGAGATGTGGTACAGAGAAGGCTCTTGAGCTTTTTCAAGGGATGCTTAGAGAAGGTTTCAGACCTTCCCATTTCTCGTACTCTAGCCTCTTTGGCGCTTGTTCTAGTACAGGGTTCTTGGAGCAAGGGAAATGGGTGCACGCGTATATGATTAAATCCGGTGAAAAGCTTGTGGCTTTCGCAGGAAACACTCTTCTTGACATGTATGCAAAATCAGGAAACATCCACGATGCGAGAAAAATATTTGATAGGTTGACTAAAAGGGATGTGGTGTCTTGGAACTCCCTGCTGACCGCGTATGCCCAACACGGATTTGGAAGAGAAGCAGTGTGTTGGTTTGAGGAAATGAGGAAGACCGGGATTCTTCCCAATGAAATCTCGTTTCTTTCTGTGCTTACAGCTTGCAGTCATTCTGGTCTTCTAGATGAAGGGTGGCATTACTTTGAATTGATGAAGAAAGATGGATTAGTACCTAAGGCTTGGCACTACGTCACGATTGTAGATCTTCTTGGGCGGGCAGGTGCTTTTGATAGGGCACTGAGATTTATCAGAGAAATGCCAATAGAACCCACTGCAGCCATCTGGAAAGCCTTGCTTAATGCTTGTAGAATGCATAAGAATATGGAATTGGGAGCTTATGCAGCCGAGCGTGTCTTTGAACTTGACCCTGACGATCCTGGTCCTCATGTAATACTATATAACATCTACGCCTCGGGTGGTAGATGGAACGATGCTGCAAGAGTGAGAAACAAGATGAAGAAAAGTGGAGTGAAGAAGGAGCCTGCGTGCAGTTGGGTAGAGATTGAGAACGCAATCCACATGTTTGTGGCAAATGATGAATGTCATCCACAGAGAGAGGAGATTGGTCGAAAATGGGAAGAGGTTTATACAAAGATCAAGGAGTTGGGATATGTGCCAGACACAAGCCATGTAGTAGTCCATGTGGATCAACAGGAGAGGGAAGTAAATTTACAACATCATAGCGAGAAAATCGCATTGGCGTTTGCACTTCTCAACACTCCTCCTGGATCAACTATACATATAAAGAAGAACATCCGGGTTTGTGGGGATTGCCATTCAGCAATCAAGTTGGCGTCAAAGGCGGTTGAGAGGGAAATCATTGTGAGAGATACAAATCGGTTCCACCATTTTAAGGATGGTAGTTGTTCTTGCAGGGATTATTGGTAGTGACCACTGAAGAAGAATCAGTGGCTTTTGCTTATGTATGCGGTATGAGTGATATTTGGATACTGAGAATCAATGGTTGTCACTTTACAACCCATTATCTATCTGAGATCAGAATTTTTCCTCTGCTGTTATTTCTCCCGCTGCTTGGTGTTGTTCCTGATTACGATTTGCTTGCACTGGACTCCATCTCTGGTAATGTACACAACTTTTTGTACCCAAAGTTTTTTTAATCTTCTGTTGGTTATCTTTCCGCGCGAAACCCTGTGATGCTCACCAAAGTATACGGTTTCAGTTTCACTATACAATACAAGCATTTAACCGCTTGTCTTTTGTATTAGGCCGCAGCTAAAATGATACAAACATGTTCCCTACTGTCTACTGTACCTGTAAGGTATGC